GCAGAGATCATCACTGTTCTTCCCAGCTTCTGAGGGATGAAACAGTTGACAGCTGTTGGAATACAGAGTGTTACTGTAGATAGAAATGAGCAAAGCACTCATGTAGAAGTAATCTTGTTAGCCATTCAGAAAATATAAATACTGTCCTATGAAGTGAAGTCTTGCCAATAGTGTTTATTTGCTATCCTTGTCTTTCATCAATATAATTGTCTATGAATTGATGCATTTCTTAGTCTATTCTACTGCTTATTACTATGGGAATAATCATCTTTATGAAGGTGAGCAACATGAGCTAAGTGGAAGTTTTGATCTTTTCCATGTGAGGACTCACAATGACCCTATTCCTATAGAAGATAATGGATTTTGAAAGATCCACTGTGGGTTTTTTTCCTATTTTGAAAAATCAATGACACCTATAGCGGACTGCATTTGAACACTCCGAGTCTCCCTCCTCCCAGAAGATTATTCTGCCATTCCTGGTCATCATACTTCCATGCTCACTGTACAGTGCCTCTCTCATACACATGTCTCACATTCAGTACTTGCCCAGTGTTCTGCTTATTTTACACAATTTAAATCTAAAATATGTTCTTTAAACTACTGCAGCTTTACATTCTGGATATTTACTTAGTAAGTATGCTTATGCCGCCAATATTTCAAGTGATAATTCACCAGCGTACCACAGCTGTTTTGCGTTGCACTGGCAATACAAAGCAGCTGTAAACCAAGTTTAACCAGATAAGTACTTCAGCTTCTTCAGGCTGCTCAGAAGTGATATTAAATAAGTGGGATAAAGAAGTAGCCATTAGCATAAGCTTTGGGTAACTGCTCACTATCCTTCAAATGCCAGACAAACCTAAATCATCATTGTAGAGGTATAAGAGATACTACAACTACAATGCATGGACTACTTGTTACTTAGTTACGAAAGTGCTGGAGGAAAAAAAAAGAAAAGCAAGACAGTCTTTTGCCAAAGACAACAGTTTTCAACTGGAAACATTCTGAATTTTAGCAGTTTCTGTGTTCTAAGTTCAGTTTTATCTCTGATCAGACGGGCAAATATCTGGAAATTTACTGAGAAAACATGAGTTCATCTGTGTTATTTTGAAAACACTGAAATATTTTATACTTTGCAACCATAAGTATTTACTTCTATCATTTAAAAATATCTCAGTATTAAATGTACAAAATACAATGTATTTTGTTGGTATCTGTGAAACGGTATACTTCATGGCCTTACTATAAAGTTTACAGTTAAAACAAATGCATTTAATATATTGAACTGGAATTTTTCAACACTTGACAGTGTAAAATATTACTACATTAAAGAAATGAAGTAAGAAATACAGTTCATTTCAGCTCTTTCTCAGCAACAAAAGTTGCCTTCATTGATACTTTTCTCTGATGTGTAATACTGCCAATTAAACTGTAGGTAGAAATCATCAGTTGTGTCAAAGTCTTCTGATCATCTTTATGATAAGCGGATGGTCTTTAGCTCCTAAATGCAGAGTTGTCCATCATTCACATGAGTCTGTATAAATCTTAGAAAGCACTTTTAATTTTCATGGATGAATTTACATCTGTTTGAAAATTTGACTTCAAACACAGGCTTAATGTTTTCAAATTGCTAATGAATCAATCATAGGAGGGAAAAAAAAACAGCTCTGCACTATGTCATCACAAATTGTTCACAGTAATAATTACAATAATATTTCACTTTCTCTTTTAAGAGAACAGGGACTCTTTGCAAAGAAGTGCTAAAAATTTACTGCCCAGCATTGCATGATGATCACATATCTCAAACATTAGTTAAGGAACTTGGCAGGAAGGCTATGTAAATCACCTCCTTTTGTTTTTAGTGCATCTGCCACATGTTGGAGAAGTAGTGAAAAGATTAGTTGTTCATGCTGAGAAATCATTAAGTGGATAAAATCAAAAAACTAGAACACAAGTCCTGACAAATGTAGTAGTATAGTCCAGTGAAAATTGAAGTCGTTTACATTGAATAGAAATTTATTCTTATTATTTGCATACACAGAAATGCCTCGTTCTCAAGATTTTTTAATAAAAAGAGAACACTACAAATAGACCCTTCGGCTTTATTTGCACTGCTTATGGAATAAGGAGCTACTCATCTTGGTTAAAAAGTCTGAGTCTGGCCTTAAGCCAGTGTGGGCCAGATTCTGCCATCCTTACCAGAGTTAAATAGTACCTTAAGCTGGGCCTGATTATGAAACGATTACTCATGGTGAGCAACTCTTTGCATGAATAGGGCCATTGTGAATAAACTTCTACAAGTGATTCACAATTTGGTCTATGTGAGTAGTCTTGCTCACGTCAATGCATCTACACATGGAGTAAAGCAGTACTAAATAAAAGTGGCAGAATGTGACCCTGTTGTAGTACTTGACATCTAACATGAAGATGCTTTTTCATTAGCTAAATGAAATGCCGCAGCCAACAGACTATCATTCATTCTTTAAGACAAGGCTGATTCAAGAGCATGACAAGCTTAATGCAGGTCTGCAACTTATCACACCTCAGGTTTAATGAAGGGTTTAATACCTGTTTGCCGAATGCATAGTTATGCTAGCAACATGTAACAAATAATTTCCAATGCTAAAACTGAGGAAGAAAATTTAATTAGAACTGTATCCCTTTCATTTAATTAAAATCAGCTGGAAGATGACATAGTATTTTATTTTTCCCTTCAATTTTGAAAGCTTCAAGCATCTAAAAATGCTGTAATGTTTTGAAAAACAACGTTTATTTTCCCCAAACAGTCTGTCACTGTAATAAATTCCTAGAAATTGTTTAATTTTATTCTTTACATAAAATACCCTGTAAAAATGAACTTGCTGGACTCCACAAGAAAATAATTACAAATTCTGCTTTCAAAATAAATGAATAAAACTAAAAGACAGACAACAAGGAAAACAATGGCTAATTTTGCCAGCTTTTGCTTCTTAGTTCAGTAATCATAACCTAGTAAAGATTATCTGAAAATCAGTTTGACATGTTCTATATATTGTACCTTAAAAAAGGATTATGAGGAATCTAAAGAAGAAAAAAATAATGGAAAAACTTGCATTTCCACTACTTGTGTATCTGGCATAAGTGTCTATATAAAACTAGCATCTTTACATGTGCTAATAAAATTATTTTTTATTTAAGTCATTAGAATCATTTTACTTCTGTCTAAGCAGATCATAAAAAAAGGAAATGATAAGTTCTAGCCAGAATACTCTTTCACAGTTACTCAGCCCGAAGTTGAAGTTCATTTTCAGAAGAAGAGTAGAAGCAGGAAACCACGAATTCAAGCATATGTATGTCTCTTTCAATAGTTTTTCTAAGAATTTACTGTAAAATACCCATTTACAACTGATCCTAATGGTTTCAAATTTAAGTCTAATTGTTCCACTGAAAGATTACAGAATAGACCCATCTCCTATTTTTGTTTTCAAGTTATGCCTCATGAGTAGGAGCAGAGGCAAGCTGGGAGTTTCTGAGAGTGTGTTTTAATGAGTACTGGTAGTTTTGCTGTTGCTGTGACAAAATGTGCTCCCCTGATCTTCCCTTCTCCCCTCACCACGCTCTTTTTCTAACTAATGTCCAGAGAGAAAAGCAAGAAGGAGCAGGGGGCTACTCAGAGACCTGTATCCTGTTTAATCACAGCCGTGTGAGTCCTACTTTATTTCAATTAATTTACTTTGCCTTTATGAACCTGAGAGACTGACTGTTGCTTTCAAAGAGGCTGACATTTCACTCATCTGAAGGAGCCTGGAATGTGACAGGGGAAAGGGAGGAGAAGTAAATCAAAGTAGATAGCAGTTCTCCAGATGTAAAGTATTTTTCTTCTCCTCTATTTTTTTTTCCACCAGAAATGTCAGAAAGTCTGCTGACATTTTAATTCCTTTGTGATAGGCTGGGAGCTGAGAGCCAAATCCTGCTGCCACTGCAGTCGAAAAGATTTTTCCTATGGACTTTAAAGGAGAAAAAAAGTCTTACACTCTGAAAAAAAATAAATAAATAAGCAAAGTATCAACAAACTGTAAAACTAAATGAAATGTACTATCATAACATCTTGAGGTCAGCCATGGACTGAAATTGGAAAGACTTGTCGGACTTTTTCCTTTTCAATTTGACCACAGCATAGCAAAAACAATAAGAATGGAGCAGAAGTGGGATTTTGCTGTTGTTGTTCTGTAAGTTTCAAGACATTCTATCTGAAAACTTAAATATTTCATTTAAACTCTAGTCAGTTTACACAATCTGTGCATTTATTTGAAACTCTGTTAAACACTGATTCTGCTTTTAGTGATACTTTTATTAAAAATCTCATAATCTGTAATAGGAATACACTCAAATTCATAAAATGAAGGACTACCCTCTATTCTCATTATGTTAGTTGTGCATTGCTACAACTCCAGTGAGCTCTACATACATTTAGAAAAGCAGCAAGCTGGCTCAGAGCCGCAGCACAGTACTGAGAAATTTAGGTCTACAAATTCCACCTACAACATAAGTGATGATATGTTTCCTTCTCTGCATCATGTTCTTAGAGATTTACATCATGGTTCTAATATTTGAAATGTATTTTCCTTTACATAGTTCTTCCATTATGAAGTATTAATTTGAAAAACATTAATTTTGTGTACAGAATTGCTAAGAACCAGTGGCGTAGACATATTTGCTTAATTGGTTTATTCTTTTTTGCAGGTTCTATAATCATTTTTCATCAACTTGTACAACAAAACATGTTTCTATATGAAAACCAAAACAAAGAGGGCTTGTTGAACTTGATGCATGGTAAATCTATATGGTTTACTCTTAAGTTTTATTGTTAAATATGATATTGCATTTTTGTAAGCAGATGTCACGTATATTGTGATCTTTAGCATTCCACACACAGCGGCTTATTGTTGTGTCCTTTAAATATGGAAAATAAAAATGCTTTCAGTTTACTATTTAAAAAAGGATATGAAGAAAGGGTACAGCTATATTACATAGCCCAGGAAATATTGGCAGCATGCTCTTTGGCTTTCATCCGTAGAACTGCAATGCTGGAAGATCTCCTTTCAAATTCCGGCTTGGTTTCAAAAGCATGTCCATTGGTTGCCCCAGAAAGTAAAGAGTCAGTGAAAAAATTATTGAGGGGCACATGGCTGAACTGATTCTGGTGGTTTGAAAAGCCTGTGTAGCCAGAATCTGTCCGGGGCGAATGGGAATAAGGTGTCATACAGGAGGAAGTATCTCGTGGTATCATGCAGGAAGTAACCACAGAACCACTAGCCGTGTTCCCCGCCCACAGATTGTTCTGAATCTGGAACACATAAAATGAATAATATTAAGTATAGATATTTCATCTTTTGTTTTCTGCACTACTTGATTTCACTTAATACATCCATAATTAGTTTCTCCTCAGAAATATTTACCAAATAAAATCCTAAGAAACCTATGAATTAATCCATAAAATACAGACATGGTTGATAATACATCCAAGAGTTTTTCCTGAAGTTCTTTCAAAGATAGTTTTAAGATAAAAAAATATTTTTGTGCTTGTTTTTTTTTAATATGAAATTACACTTGAGGGTGTTTCTTTTTCAGCTTGCAGACTGAACAAATTGTGTTGTATGTCCCTGGAAAACATTGCGTGACAGACTAGGAGACAAACTTTGTGGTTACCAGTGAGGTCTGCTGAAGATCTGGAGTAACCATATATTTAAGCTTTGATGTGTAATGTTTTCTATATTTGGCAGGCACTTAAAACTTCATTCTGAGCTTCACTCCTTCTTCTATCATCTATGAATAGACACTATACATAGGTATTTTTTCACATATTTATTACTAGATTAACATATTTTGCAATTACTCTTTGGTTAGCACTATAAAGTGAATTCCCCCTTCACACTTAATTTTATTTTCATGTTGCAAATGAATTTGGGCTTTAATGAATGTAAGTTATGCTTGTAGCTGATTTTTTTTTTTTTTTTACTATCAGATTTGAGATCAGTGGAAGTAAAGAATAATGAGAGTCACAGACAGTGAAAAAAAATCTTCCAACTCAGCACTCTTTTTCCCATTATCCTAATACTTTGCAACGGCACATATCCCCCAAACCACCAAGTTACAGATAAATTATGGCTCACTGAACTCATCTAGTTGAGATATACTGCAGATAGAAAGGATTAGATAATTACAGTCTTATTTTATAAATTATATGTTGAACAGTTGTATTAGCAGATGCTATAGGAGCTGACAAACTAATTTGGACTATGGTAATTCTGGCAGTAGAAAAGAACCAGTAACTTCTCTATCTTGGTTTCCTGCAGAAAAGTAGGGAAAAGGCATGGTAGCAAATCCTTGGTTCCCAAACTCTTGGTCTTCTCAGTCTCCCTGTTTACACATACAGGCATATGCACATTGGCACACCCCCTCACATGAATGCAGATTACCTTTCCACACAGACACATACACACAACTATTTGGGCACACCTCAGGCATCTTCTGCATATCTTAGGTGATCTGCTGAGAGGTAATGAAGTGAATAAGGTGCCTGAGGGAGCTGATCAAGGATTTTTCCTCCTTCCTGTGGACTTCTTGCGATCTACAGGAGGAAAGAGACTCTAGTGAGAGTTTCAGAGCTCTTCATAGAATCATAGAATATCTCAAGTTGGATGGATCCACAAGGATCATTGAGTTCAACCTCTGAATCCACACAGAACCACCCAAAACCAAACCCTATGTCTAAGAGCGTTGTACAAATACTCCTTGAACTCCAGCATTTTGGAGCTGTGACCACTGCCCTGGGGATCCTGTTCTATGCCCACTATCCTTCAGAGAAGGGCTTTTTCCTAACACCCAACCTGACCCTTCCTTGATGCAGTTCCATGCCACTGCCTCAGGTCTTGTTGCTGTCACAGAGGAGCTGTAGGCCACTGTGAGGCCTCCCCTTATCTTTCTCTGCTCTGGGCTGGACAAAACAGTTCTCATCCTCACCTCCTATTTTCAGCAGTTTATAAATTCTTCTCAAACATCAGCTCATGAGAGACCCTCCACAGTTTGTCTTGATTTTCAGCTTCCTTATTACCCTACACCTGAGTCTGTTTTCACTTATAATCAGAAAAAAAATGTAGTCCTCATGGAACAAATGTTTTAATTGGGGGATTCAAGTATGTATCTTAGTAAGACCCATTTGAACCATTGCCTTGGTTAATAAAGTTTGCTGCATTCAATCATACACAATAATCCTGAAGGCACCAGTGTCTCTCTTATGGCTCAGTATTCAGAGATTACTGAGTATCCTTTTGCCCGGAAGGTTATTCAGATCCTTTGCAGAATCTGAGAATTTTGATTCTGACAATAAGGAAATAAAGGACCCTGAAAGAGTTGGTAAGTATGATTTTTAAGTTTATGGCAACTGAAAAGTCATTCAGGACTTGCTGCTTATTATTGCTTGCAAACTTATTTTGAAGGAGAGATTCTGGAGCCACACAGCATGCGATGAGCACATAAAGAAGAGTAGTAAAGAAGATAGCAGTTGACAACCTATAAAATCCAGGGAATATCTTTTCCTTTTCTTGAAAGTGCAAACTGCACACATTCTGTTTCTATCATGAACTCAGAAAACCAGAAACTCTGCCATCTCTACAGTCTTGCCTTTCTTTTATATAGGAATAGTAAAATCTTTTAATTGCAGTTTGTTTGTTTGTTTGTTTTTCATGACCACATATGCATTAATTGCAGCAGCAAATAAAAACAAATTAAGATTATTTCCCTTTGTTCCTAGAGAACAAGAACATTCCCATATCCATGCTATTTCACTCCAGTTGGTTTTGTTGTTATTTCTCTACTAATTTGGAAAACAGTCAAGGCAGTTTAAAAAATCCAGAAAAAAAATGATATTTCATGCAGATGCAAACATAACACCATTCTTTTTGATGGTGTTTCCAGTCCAAATTGTTAATCTCAAAAAATTCTCAACAGGATGAATTTGCCTAGAGATAGACCAATGCATCCATGTAGTTTCTAATATGGGAGCTAATTCTGAGGAAGCTCCCCATCTCTGTGTGTGGGACAAAGTCTCATTTATTTGACCTACACAGATTTCTTTTTAAGAAACCCCATACTAAATGCTGCAGATGGTCAGACTGCACAGATGTAATTATGGGAATAGTTTTCCAAAAATAAATAAATATATATATGTTTAAATAGGAGCATATACAAATTTGCCTTTAATATGGTCATTATGGGAAGACTTCAAAAGATCCAATGGTCCAGTTTGAAAGTGTCCAGTAACCTATGTGGTCTGGAAGTATCAAAAAACCACTCTTTCCTTCTATTTTTCTATTAGTTTGATTTTCAGTAAATTATGTTTAGCACTACTCTTTTTTCTGATATTTTTATCCTGGACAATCTCTTCCAATTTAACTTCAGTGTGATTGCACAGGTGTAAATGAGAAAAGTATTCAGCCACAAATTCTAGAATAAATAAATGTTTTGTTAAAGAAGCACTTGAACAAGCTATTCATTGCTAAAATTTTCAAAGTATCACCCTAGGTGTCTTCATGAGAGGAAGGAATTCAAATTAGTAAACTGAACTTCAGAATTGCTTTAAGATGCTAGAAGAGCTTTACATCTTCTTTCAAGAGACAGTTATGTCTTTCAGAAGTATATTTTAGTCATATCTAATTTCTGCTCATTTAGTTTGTTGAATGACTTCCCTTTTGATACTAGATGTTAATTTCTCAGCAAGGATTTACACACATAAATTTCTTACAGGGAAATCTAGTGCATAAGATATTCCTGTATTAAAAAAAATGCAGTAATGTTTTACAATAAGTCAAAATTATCAGGCCTTCTTCTGGTATGTTGGAAGGAAAAGGGACATTATGTACATGAATTTAAAGAAAATATTTTTCCTCTTAAGCTCTTGTGTGATCCATGAACTATATAAAAGGCAATTCAGAGACTGTGAATGAGCCCATACATGCAGTCCATCTCTGGTTTCTGTTAACATCACAAATAGCTTGAGCTTTGCTCTTGTGGTTACCATGAAATTACCAGAGCCCTTCAATATATTTACCTACTGTATATTTTATACACACACGCGCGCGCACACACCCTCCCAATAGGGGAAAAGAAACATAGAATTGCATAGCTGTGACAAGAATATAACTGGAGAGTTATGGCTGTTAACATGATTATGATGTTACTTCCTAAACCTATGACCTTCTGCTTGACAACGTAGAAGAAAATAAGCTGAGGTAATAGGTCATCCTTTTTGGTCTGCTTTTATTTTTTTCAGTAAAAATACCAGATTCCTAGAGATTCAGACTTCTTGTATCAGACCTTGGGAAATTGTATAAACTCATTTTTCCAAAATTTCTGAGGTTTGCTATCTTTTACTCAGTTTTGATTCTCCCATCACCAAATATATTGCACTTTAAAGGTTTTTTTTTCTTTTATTGGAGCTAGAGGCCTATCCAGACCAGAGACACACAAATAAAAGCACATGCATCTTCCTTTTGAGTGATAAGTGTTTTAGAGCTCCACATGAATAAACAAATCTCCTTTAAGATATTTAGATATGAACTTATTATATTATGCAATACATACTATGTTATTCTACTATAATAAATATAATCTGTAGTTATTAGAGTAGTTAGACAAATTGTCTTTATTTTTACAGTGTTCCTTTACATTGCAAGGGGGACAAAGTGACACTAATTGAGCAGTTAAGCACTAACCTAACTATAAAAAACATACAATTGTTGAAAGACTGAATTGCAAACAGTATGTCGCTCCTTTACTTCATGTGAAGCAACAATCCTTGCACTGCAAGAAAATGTGCAACCTGGGCTTGCACAAGTGGCTGCCTTAAGCAGATAAAACAAATTAAAATACAATTGCTGTTAAACTGCTTAAAACAACTAGTTTACAATGTATAATCTGTAGGCTGTTCCTAGTCCATCAGCACAAATAATTTGGCCACCTTCCATTTATCACCACAATTTTTTTTCCTGAGGCCCTTTCAGGAACATCAAAAGTATGGGTAGAGAAGCCTGTGCTTGCTAAGTTTGCAAAATCATTGATTCATAGAAGAATTTAAGCAGAAAATTATTATTTCTCCAAATATCTGACCGCAGCTAACTTTGAATTTTGATCAGGTTACTCAAGCTCTATTGAGTCAAGTTTTGAATACTTCCAGGTATTCAAATTCAATAACTACTACGCTCAACTAGTTCCAAGGTTTTACTGCTCTCACAGTATTTTTCCTTTAGATCTATCAGAATACTTCATGGTGTAGTCTGTTATTCTTTC